ACGTCCTCGTTCCTACAACTGAAGAATGGATTTAAATAAGAGGAAGCTAATTTTAAGAGGTGGAATCGTCCATTCACCTGACACATCAAGTGCATGATGCCACGTTTGGAGGCTTACCAAGAAAAACAGCTTAAGATTGAGGTTTAAGGGAGTGATATTAAAGCAGCAGTAACAACAGACCGGAAACAGCTTAGAAACAAAAAAGAAATGTTTATCAAAGTAAAAGGAAAGTTTGGTGATGGATGGTGTGATAAAGGCTTAAGAGAGCGAGGAGGCAGAAACATACCAATGACTGAAAACAAGGCCGTCAAGGAGTTAAGTGACTGTCATGAGAAACGAAGACAAAACTGTGAAACAAAATCGAGGCCAAACACGATGAGGATGACGAGAAAAAGCTGAAGCTGCTCCATCTTTTAACCAGTGATCCCAGGTCAGCAATAATCACTGTGTTTTAGTTCAACAGAACGTGCGATTTTTGACCCTGGGTCTGTGGTTAGAATTGGTGCCACCTAAAGCTATGATGCAAAACAAAACCTGTCAGAAAAGGTGTGGTGTTGCAGTTTGAATTGTTCTCCTTGGTTTCCTGTGTTCTTATGTCCCTTCATGCTTTCCATAGTGTCAACAATGGTGAATGTGTCTACTTTTATGAGCACCACATTAAACAAAACAAATCCAAAAATAAGAACATTTGCTACATTGTTTGCAACTTGCATGTCCGGCGGCAGCATCCCCGATCAGGAGGTGCATCGCCAGGTGATGTTATAGATGCCATTTGTCATGCCAGGCTCAAGGTTTTCCATGAAATGGTGGAAAAAGGAAACAGGATGGAAACACCTTTATTATGATTGACAAATGTTCACCTAATAATCTCTACACTACTGGTTTTTGGCTCTGCTGTGAGCGTGGCGAGCTGACCGTGGCGGAGTCGTCCGTTTGTGCTTGGTGTTTTGCTCAGCTGAAGAACTGCTCCCGCTCCTCCTCCATGTTCACCTCAGGCACCATCTGCTCCTGCTCCCTTTCTGCTCTGCTGTGCACTGCGGCGCCACCCTGCGCCCCCGTGGAGGTAAACCAGGGGTGCTCCAGTATCTCCCGGGAGGTGAGGCGCTCTGCGGGTTCCCGGCGCAGGATGGAGCGGATCAGGCACTTGGCCTTGGGTGTGAGCGTTTCTGGGATGTTGAAGTGGCCCCTGCGGATTTTGCTGAACAGAGAGCCGGGCTCAACGTCATGGAAAGGGTAGCGCCCCACAAGGATGGTATAAAGCATGACACCCAGGCTCCAAACGTCTGCTGCCTTCCCCGAATAGCTGCCGTTGGCGTTGAGGATCTCGGGACTTACATAGGCTGGGCAGCCATGTTTGTCTGACAGGGAGTCATCGTGACCATCCAGGATATACGTATCCTCAAGGCTCTCCAGCTTCACGAGGCTTCTGAAAACACACAACAGAGAAAAAAACACATTGAACATAATGATCATCTACTAATGTGACTAATGTTATTAAGTGATGATTACAACCATGGTCCCAGTGTTTAGATGCCAAATAAAATAAAAAACAAAACACAAGGGACACTTGAGTGGGGTAATTTGCTCTGATGGACAACTTAAGAGCTTTAGATCCATCACTTTTGGAAATCAGAGGAAGTAGAGCACATAATGCTCTGGGCTTAAATTTGACATTTCCTTTCACAGATAAAAGCTCAGCCAAAAAGCATGAACGTACAAATAGGCTTACCAAAAGACCTCCGCTATTCAAAAGAACACAATTACGGGTGACTGATCATCTTAAGTTTCATGCATTGAACTGCTCCACTCAGAGAATCAGGCAGACAGCTATGTGGATTTTTTCCCCGTGCTCTTCCCCCCCTTTAAAATAGCATCTATTTGTTCTCTTCTCAGCCCCATAATAGCTGCAATGATACTCTTGAGGGCTGATAATAATGGCTGGTTGTTGTGAAGCGTTGTCACTAAAGAATCTTGAGAGGTTCGGGCAAGAAGATTTCTCCACGTGCACGGTAAGAGAGACTTGTGCTGCTATGCAAATGCTGCCATCTGCGTGTGTGGTCCGTGATACACGATGCGCCAGACAAAGAGCCAGGGTGTGTGATAGTATCTACTGGGAGCCACCCGGAAAAAGGAAACCAAGAAGCACTGGATTAGACAAAAAAATATATTTTCTGGCATCTGTGACATGTACTTCAAGATAAGCCCATTCACAGCTTCTTTGTCAGCATAGTAATTTCCCTTTATTAACTTGCTTTAGACCATTTTCACATTTTCATAATAGGAAACTTCTATTGTTTCCTGGAGCCAAACGCCTATTGTTTCTCATGAGATAAAGAGCCATGTGCTTATTCAAATACAACATAATGCTGCCTGGATAATGGCTGGAAGACATGTAAACCCACAATTACAGTTGAGGGGGCTTAGAATTACAAAAAAAGACTTTGCACATTTTAAACTAATCACACAATGTTTGTAATTAAAAAATATGAGACGTAATGTGTACTAATCCTAAAATGTCTCATGATCTTGGAGAAGAAAGAAGAGATAAACTGGGTTTGTTTAAGGGCCCTGTTGTACTGTCCACAACCTTTGCCTAATGCTCTTTAAACAGGCTGCTCTTTGGTCAAAGGCTAACAGCAGCAGTATGACAAAATCAAGTTGGGAAGCCAACACATGCTGTGGAAGCTTGATCAGGTACCATTTTCTGTCTGATCTCATTCCTTCCCTTCTTTATGCATGCACTCTCTCCTTTTGTCACACACTTGGGTTAAAGCCAGAACGGCCTCTCAAGTCTCTAAAGAAGCTTCGTCTCATCATTCCTGTACTGTCTGTCTAACTGTGCCAAGAGGGCTGAGAAGGAGTAAGGGGATTCTTGACAGGCCAAAAAGTAAATGTGACTCAATACTGACCCACACCATCACTATTAAAATTCACCCAACATCAATCATTTAACAGGAGGGAAAGGGAGAGGGGCTCGGCATCCCAGCCTCATGAGCAGTCTGGTGTGGCATTCAAGGTCATTGGACCTGTACTGAATATGTGAGGCAGCTCATCTTCCTTTTTCCACAGTTAGCGCCAAAGTGTAAAGTCACACGCTCAGACAGAGGGCGATTAGGTGCAGCCTGGGCCACTGCTGAGGTGTTAGATAAGGTGGCTTAGATGAAGTTTACTGTAACATTGGTTTAAGTAATGACATAAGTGAAGTAATAAAATGTTTTGCATGTGAATCCACTACAATTGAAATAAAACATATATCTTCATTAATAAAAAGGTGCTCTTGGGTTGCTGTGGCAACAGATGCCTGGGTTTTATGGGTGTAGTTTTAAAACACTGCCTCCAGGGGTCAGTAAACCTGTACTTTGTAAGTGTGGTTCCACAGATTTATCATGCTGATCACTACAGAAGTGAACCAGTAACAAAAGCTAAGCTTTGTACATCATCTGTCATGCTAAATGTAGTCCTGGTAATTTGTCTGTGCTTTTCAGTTCAACATGTCAAGGTTGGAATAAGTGCAATGATTATGCATGATTATGTATGCGTCATTTACCCACCACAAAACCTTGTGCACAAAAATAACTGAGCGAGACACAAAGGGCTTATGTTTCCTGTACTCTGCACAACATCTGGGAGAGGCATGTCCGTCTTGTGTTATCTCAGTTGGCGCTCTCCTTCTTGTTAACCTCAGATATGATAACATATACGATAATCCTGACTGTTGCTATATAACATTCAACTTATACAAATGAAGCAATGTAAAAATGCCAGAATACCACAGTTAATTTTCAACATAGACAATGTTTTTTTGTAGAACTCACCTGTCCTCATTCTTGAAGACAAACTTCCTCAGCTTGAGGTCACGGAGGACCAGTCCGTTGTCGTGGCAATGTGCCACAGCCGAGGCTATCTGATAGAAGAGTCTGGCAGCTTCGTCCTCCCGCAACTTCTTGCAGGTGCGGACAAAAGAGTGCATGTCCCCATAGCTCCTCTCAAAGAACACATATGCTCGTGTTTCCCCGAGCAAGATCTCCAGGATTTGGTTGATGTGCTGGTGCTGGCCCAGGGCAAAGTAGGCCGCCAGTGACTCCTGGTATTGGCCAATCTCAAAAACCTGCAATAGTGAGAAACATTCATACTTACAGTTGGCAATCTAGCCAATTAGCTATTTCCCCTCTTATCTAGAGTGAGTAATGAGTGTAGCCATCTCATTAGGTTGTTTTGGTGTCAAGATCTTAGGGCGAGAACATCTGCCAAACAATCTGTTTTTTCCCTTTCCCCAAACAATTAAAAGAAAGAAAGAGCTTCAAATTGCCCTTTAATTAAGCAAAATGTGACCAGAATGTGAGCAATATTTCACACTCTTGTGACACCAGACTTATGTTTAATCTTTGGACACTAAGGATTCATAGAGGCAAAGTGAAAGCATTGTGTTGGTGCACGGTATTGTACTGCAGCATGGGGTTGTACTGTCTCTTTTGTTTCCATAGTAACACCCCCCTCAATTGACTCTCAGCACACCCAGTTCAGCTGAGGGGGGCTCATCTGCTCACAGTCAATACAAATACGCCCCACAGCTCTTGAGATCTTAAGTTGTGACCTGGGCTTCCAGCTTGGCAGGAGCGATCAATCCTGTGGGTCCAGATTGACTGATGCTGTATTGAAACCGGCACAAAGCAGATGAGGTCAAACAGCAGTTAGCTCACAAGCCATGCCAAAGGCCATTAATCTGTTGTTGCCAGGAAGAAACATTATCTCAAGTCAAAAGGTACAGATTATTGGATAAATCAAGCCTTATGAGTCCAACGGTGCATGTAACTATTGTCTCAATTCATCAAGCCACTTAAGCCTTTGCAAAGCTGGAAATGTACTGTACCTTGGGGTCAACCCCAATGCCTGTTTAAGCACTTATACTCAAAAGTCAATAAGGTCTATAAATGGTGTGGAAAGGCCATGAGGTTAACCTCAACCTTATGGGAATAGTGGTTTATTTCTTATGGTTAGAGAGGTCAATGCTGGGGCCAATGTCACAAGAGCTGACTGGGCTTGTAAACTTCCCCCCTGTTCCTGTGTGCTTTCCTCTAATGAATCCGTCTTTAAAAGATACCAAAGTGTAATATTTTGACGCAATGAGATTATGACAATGCACCAAATATAAAAACAAGTGTGAAATAACAGGATTAGAGCGTAGCACTGTGCAAAGAGGAGCTATGGTTAGGCGAGAGTAGCCGTGCGAGAGGAGTGTGTGTGCGTGGTTACTCACTCCTTTGTCAACGTTACATCATGCAATCCAAACCACGCAGCTCGCCCCATTCACTTTTTCCATTAGGCTGCTCTGCCAGCTCTCTATTTACAATTCAAGCAATTATTAAAGCGTCGCGATGAGGTAGGTGGTGGGGGGGGTCTTGCTGCAATATCCAGCATATAATACACCATCACAGTGCTTCTCTTTGCAGTGTGTGCAATGCATTTTGGGGGGCAATACATGAAATCAAGTGTAATCATACATGTGGCGATGCAAGTAAAAGGTAGGATGACATCCACCGTGCACGCTGCTTTTACTGACCTTACACACGAGCTCTTCCCCGCTGTGCAGGTGGGCGGCTCTGAAGACGTGATCCCCCTCCAGCGGCTCCAGCAGGAGGTAGTCCCCGATGCGGGAGATGCAGTGCGAGGAGTCCGGGGTCTCCGGCGGGCTGGGGGACCCGAGGTTGGGGCTGAAACTCTGGTGCGACTCGGTGGTCCTCAAGCAAGACAGCTCCTCGAAGTCGTGCGATTTGTGCCGCGATCTCCCATAACGTGAAATGTTAATAGGATTTGACCTCTGTATGTTCATGAGGAATAAGGGTGATAGCTCCACAATACCGAGGGGGGCTTCCTCCTCCTGGTGCTTCTCCTCCTCCTCCTCTATAGGGCCACCACCACTTTGTCAGTCCGGTCCTTTTAGGGATTCTTCGACAAAAACACCACGGATGAAACGCTGCTGGAAACCACAGACGATCAACAGCTGGCAGAGCTCGCTCCTTTCATGCAACACAACGGGGCTTGTAATGTCTCTTCACCGCTTCATTTGCCCCACTTTGTTCCCCGTGCAAGAGACACCACCGGGATTAAACACCACAGTAACTACCCCGAGTCGACAGGAAACCCTTTGCACAGACCGGCTGCACTTTCCTTAACGTTAACGAGAGCTAAATTAGCAGCAAAATGCTACCAGAAAAAGTATTTTTCCAATGAATGACGAGTCCTAAGTTAACCCGTCTTAGCTAGCTCCTGTCTGCAGGTGGGAGGTTTCTTACAACGGAAACAAACGGTTGAAAGAAAAATAGCTAATGAACAAAAACACAGGGAAACATTAGAAATAATACGTCAAGCACGTTTAGCTAGCTGCTTGACGCGGCTGGATTTAGCTCGAGTTTGACAGACAAATGACGGCTAGCAGGTGCAGAGCTAACTAGTTAGCTTCCTCAGCTAACTAGTACCAGGTCAGTGCACGGGCCTTGTTCGCCGGGATCATATCCATGCACGGCGGTTGTCATAAGGAGAAAACCCCATCCGGTTTAGAAAGAAAAAAGCTGCTGCAGCTCTTTGTGTGCGGGAGTCGACGAGCTCTCTCTTTCTCTTAGTCCAGTGGAAGAAGAAGAAAAAGATGTCGCGTCTTTTGTGTCCGCTGCTGCTGCTGAAAGGTGCTGGAAGGTAAAGCGGAAAGGAGAAGGACGGCCGGCCGACTTTCCCAGGCCGATCCTCGGTTCAGCAGGACATCCTCTCTCCCGTGGTGCCGCGGTGCTTCTTACGTGGCCGGGAATCTAGTCCATTCAGCTCGGAGGGAGGGAGGGAGAGAGGGAGGGAGGGAGGGAGGGAGGCCGGGCCGAGCTGCACACATATACACACACACACACACACACACGCGCGCGCACTGGCTGCGCGCACACACATACACTGCGCCTGGAACACGGCAGAGCCACGGAGGAGGGGGAGGGAGACTCTGCACACGCACATGCACGCGCACACACACACATGCATATACACTATATACATACACACGCACACACGAGCATACCCGAGCCACCTCCCCCCTGACGTCACTACCACCTCGCAACCCCATTGGCTCCACGTTCTAAAACGCGGCAGCGGTCATGTGAGAAGCATGTAGTGAGGGCTACACCCCCCCACGATTCTAAATGCATCGCATGCTGGTAAATTGGGTGGGGGGCGCTGGGGGAGGCTGGGGGAGGCTGGTGGGAGTGAGAGCACAACTACTGTACGTGCTGCCTGACAAATGTGTTTCCTCCTGAAATATCACTCAATGTAAAGCTATAGGGCTGGGGGAGGGGGGGGGACCCCATCAAGCATAAATAAATGAGGATGCCATGCATGTGTTATGGTCGACTATATTTAAACAGGGGAAATGCGGCAAATGTGTCCATTGTGGTTCACTGTTCTGTTTATAAACAGTGAGTAGCCTCAGCAAAATTATTGTGAATGCAAAACGCACTTAAATAGAATACAATGAATGAAATGTCAATAAAATACAGTTAGAATGGCAACCAGAGAGTGTGTACCACCACCAAGGCCCACCAGTCCCCTCATGAAACCACATTTAAATTCACTAGCACCAGATATCTCTGCCCTAAATATGCCTCATTTTTTTGATCATGATCCATGAATTATTGCCTACGCCAAGGAGGGTATTTTCTTATCTGCATTTGTTTGTTTTGAAAAACTTGGTTTGAAAAAATGTGGTAAAGGTCAGGAAAGAACCAATATAATTTTCATGAGCCAGATCCAGGGTTTTTATTGATTTATTTCTTTTGCCTTTTTGCAGTTTGATTGAATTTAACAGGACTGTTCGGCCTTGGTAGGGGAATCCACTCTACCTCTAGTTCTCTGAGAAATCAATGAAAATGTTAAAATTTTGCATGTTGTGCAAAAAGTGGGGGAAAAAAACTTTTTTTTTCTTTTCTGACCCACACCGCATCCTTCCACCAAGTTTCATGGAAACCCATCTAATAGTTTTTGCCTAATCCTGTTGAAAAACATACAAATGCTAATAAATACAACCTCTTAGGCGAAGGTTATGAAATAAAAATAAAAACACAAAAGTACATGTACATTATAGGAGCATGACACATGTGTTGACAGCTGTTTTCAGAGTGCAAAGACATCAAGCAGTGGATAAAGCTCTGTCCTTGAGGAGGACATTGCTTATGTGCATGTTTGAAATGAAAATGTAAGGTTTTCACTTTGATATGATATGGAATTATATTCCAGATTTTTGTGCCAAGGTTAATAAAAAAGAATTAATTAAATGCTGGCACGCGGCCGTGTGCTTTTGAGACGTCTCCTCGAAGAAATTCCTGTCTTGCAGAGTTGTGCCCCCGTAACAAATTACAAAATGAAGGACGGAAGAGGTTCATTATTCATTGTTCTTCCTAGATTACTGGGGGGTGTGACAGCGGGATTGTGCAATTCCATGTAGGAATCCGGGGCGGTGAGAGGAATGCTTGCAGCTGGATTCGAGACACTGACAGAAGTGTTCGCTTTAACCTTTATTCCCCTGCTCGCAGGCAGTAGCGGTGCACACACACGCATACAGAGGCACACACGCACTATTCTAAATCTCCGTCTCTCTCTTGAATAAGCCCCCACAACATGGAAATGCATTTTTCACACAGAGGCCCCTCATCTGAGAAACGGTGGTTTGCAGAATGTGACGGCTCCCACAAGCTTTTATATTCCGGTCTCATGCTTATGTGTATGTATGTTTCTGGTCTCTGTGATATAATCTGTGAGCCGCCCACTTTATTCTTTGTTACAGCGCTTCAACATTCTTCACTACACAATAGCTCCTCCTTTGTTTTACCCATTCAGTTGAGAACAATGTGAGCATGCTACTGAACTACATAAAAGTTACACATTACTACAACCTCCATAACCACATTTATGCATAGGCTGCTTTTGTACTTCTCTGTTTTTTGCCACTGCATCTCTGCATTTCACCCCCCCCCCCCAAATAGGGAATTCTGCTAAGCCTAAACCACAGCTGTGCATGAATCAAAATAATAATCCCCAAAGATTCTTTTGCCCCCATTCTCTGATACACTGTGTGACTCATTCGCAGTGGAGAGCTGCCCTCGAGAAAAATCCATTGAGGTTCATCAGCTCTCCAGACACGCCTATATGCCGAGGAGTAACAGCAAGCTGCCCCAGCGGTGCCTTCCAGCGAGAGCTTATGACTGCGTGAGTGTGTGTAGTGTGGAACAGAAACAAGACGTGTCCTGTGGAAGACTACAGAGGTCAATGATGAGGATGGCTGAGCATCCCTGAATCCCCAGGGCCACGTTATTCACCAACTTCCTAATAGGCTGTGTTGCCCTGTAGAAACTGATCTAAGGTCGGCTTCCCCTGTATCGTTGCAGTATAGGAAGACTGAAGGGTTTAGACCCACCAGGGGGATTTGCTTTCCATGGCGGTTGCAATTGAATGAAATTTATTAGAATGCATCATGAAACCGACTCACATGAGAGTTATTTTCCTTGCATTATATGTTCGGAAAAAAGCCAATAACCCACTGTCACATAGCAACAGAGCTGTAGCCAGCTCATGTTGACACCAGCAAGAATCAAGGCAGTCACATCCAAACCCTGCGGGTGACTTCCTCTGAGAAATTCGATCATACACGAGAAGATAGATGTAGCAGCACAAGAGGAATGAGCTCATTCAACGAGTGTGAGAGGGGAGATGATGTGAGGCAGGAGAATGCAGGATGGAAAAGCAGACAGCATAACGTGAGAGTGGAAGACGGAGAAGAGGAAAGAGGAAGGAAAGTGACAGAAAGCATTGTTCCTCTACCATTGCTGTCTTTGGAAAATAGTTTGTGTCAGGTAGTTAGACACTAGCTGGAGGGTAGAGCAGAGGAACAACATGGTTAATCCAAAAATTGCAAAAAAGCATGTGGGTGGAAAGGGCACCAAATCAAACCAATAGGTCAAAGCTGCTTAAAAACATAACAATCCCTTTGAGTCATAATGAAAGTGCTGACATCAAGTAAAAATCTGATGTATTCATAGCTTTGTTTTGACTGCAAACTGTGCCCCCATGCTTCCGTCAGGTTTTATTTTCATATTTACAGTTGAGAACTAGACAAATTCCCATGATGCTCAAGCTTTTTATGACCCATAGTGAGCGTGTCGGTACTGGGTGACAGCTGCAATACCCTTCAATTTCAAGTGAGGGAAAAAAACAAGTTATTTTGGGGATGGGTACATGTGCCACATTCTGCCCCTCCATGGTGCTTTGGGACCTAAGGCCTGTTTTTAACTGAGGGAATGAGGGACAGAGCTACTGAGTCGAGGGCAGGGAGGAAGAGAGGAGAGTAAACAGGGAGGAGGTTCATTGATGGTAGGTTGATGCAGACTTATCCTTTATTATTCCTCTTATTCTTAAATGTTGCACTTGGAATTCATTTTGTAGTAATATTATTATACAAAATATAACTTTCTCTTTGTTAGTACCTCAGACAAAGTCACTCAGGCCCGACCTCGGCCTCCCAGCAACTTTGTTGTTCATTCCCTGACGTCACCACAGATCATCTTGAAACAGCAGCCTGATTGTTTTCACAGAATATTTTTACATTAGTGACGTCTTACATTACAACATTGGCTTCTAAACTAGGGGTCGGGAGCCCTTGGTGGGTTACGAGACACAGAGAGGGGGGGGAGTCAAGAACCTGTGCTAGCCTTCAGTTGTCATAAAAACTCAGTCTGTCCAGTCTGGACAGAAAACATGGTGGCCTCCGAAGAGAGGACCCACTCCCTATGTAAATATAAAGTATTTAAATATAAAGGGCCCATTCTAGAGTAAAGAAAACAACAATTCATATTTTTAGATGAAACACAATCGTGAAAACATCTATAGGACTATATCTATATTCACTTTCTGCCAATAATCCCCTTTCACCTAAATCTTACACACTGACGATTAAACCATGCTAATGAAAGTATTTCATCAACCTTGTGATTTCCTTTGTCCCACATAACCCCTGAGGTGATTATGACATATTAACCATCAGTTGCAGTTAATTTAAAGCACCACAGGATACATTTCAACATGCACACAAAGGAGATTTTTTTTTGCAAACTAGCTCAAATCAATATCCTCTGGATAAATGGGAGTCCTTGTCTTTGGCACCATTATTTTGGGGGTTGGGTCCTAAAACATTTGACCCCTGAATTTCAATGACATGTCATCTCATTTGTAACTGTGGAAATGCACACTATTATTTTCTTTATATTAAGGGCCAATCTTCACTATCGACGTGTGTCTTTACTCAAGACAATGCAGACCTCTGCAGACAGACAACCTCTACTATTCATTGTTAAAGAAGGCTAAGTGTCAAAAGAGTAATGTAGATTTTAAACATTGCAGGGTAAAGAGAAATGATGCAAACTCAGTCTGATCGAAGTGGGTCAGGAAAGTATACAAAAAATGTTCCAGATTGTACGTTGGCGGTGGAACAGAAACGCTTCTGCTCCGTCTCAGTAGTTAATAATTTTCCATACTTTAGCATTTTGCCGATTTACAGCAAGACAGGAAACGTGTGAGTGCAAAATTAATGAACACAAAGGTTTAAAAACCGCCCAGTCAGCTAGGGAGTGAACCCAAGGGGACAATTGAGCAGATCAAATCAACAGTGGCACTTCCGTTGACCTCACTTCAACCTGCTGGCTCATGACCAACAGTTTATGTGATGTTGCATTAGATAAATCAAAATGAAAATGGTTGCACTGATAATTTCAGAGTGTACTGCAGGGAGATGGGTTTTTTTTCTTTTTTCCACTTTCCTCTCTGAGGCAACAGGAAGTATGAGTGGCC